GGCTCAGGTCAGTCCTCTGGCTTTGGACAACATGGCTCAGGTCAGTCGTCTAGCTCTGGACACCATAGCACAGGTCAGTCGTCTAGCTCTGGACATGGCTCAGGTCAGTCATCAGGCTTTGGACAACATGGCTCAAGTCAGTCCTCTACCTTTGGACAACATGGCTCAAGTCAATCCTCTAGCTTTGAACAACACACCTCAGGTCAGTCATCGGGCTTTGGACAAAATGGGACAGGTTCAGGTCAGTCCCCCGGTTTTGGACAACATGGTTCACGTCAGTCCTCTGGTTTTGGACAACATGGTTCAGGTCAGGCTTCTGGCTTAGGCAAACATGGAACTGGCTCAGGTGAATCCTCTGGAATTGGACACCATGGAACAGGACAGTCCTCAGGCACTACAAAGTACAGGTCAAGCTCAGATCAGTACTCGGGTACTAGAGAGCATGGTACTGGCTCAAGTCAGTCCAACACTTTTGAACAACATAAATTTCACTCCGGAAAATCTCAATTTGGTCCACGTTGGTCTAGCTCAGATCACTCTTCAAGTTATGGACAACACGGATACGGTTCTGAACAACCATTAGGATCACATCAAGGTCAAACTGGATCTCAATATGCAGAGTCAGGATCCAGACATCTAGGGAGATGGGGAAGTCCTCCTCAGCAGTCAAGAGACACCACAAGGCAGTCCCAGTCTGGGCAGAGACAATCCCCTCATTCTGGGGTGAGGCCAACCACAGGTAGGGGCATTGTTCATAGTGAGTCCAGTGGCAGTGAGGAACACTCAAAGTACTCACAGAGACATTCAAGATCAACTCAGGGTCACGATGGATCTCAACACGCAGAGTACGGACCCAGATCTCAAAGAAGGCAGCAAACTTCAAGTCAACAATCAAGAGACACCATAACACAGGGCCAGACTACTAGTGGGCAATCCAGACAGCCTGAGTCAGGAACCACTCAAAGAAGAACATCTTCTCAGAGCCAAGCCAGTGACACAGAGGAGCATATCCGAGGTTCACGGAGACGCTCAAGGTCTCCCCAGCATCACCCTGGTTCACAACATGCAGAATCAGGATCCAGAGGTCCAGGGAGACAGGGAAGTCATCCTCAGCAGTCAAGAGACACCACCCGGAAGTCCCCATCTGGTCAGGGACAATTCCCTCAGTCTGGGGTGAGGCCAACTGCAAGCAGGGGCCGTGTACACAGTGAGTCCAGTCGCAGTGAGGAGCACTCACAGTCCTCACAGAGACACTCAAGATCCCCACAGCACCACCCTGGATCTCAACATGCAGAGTCAGGATCCAGAGCTC